TGATCCACCCGCCTCGGCCTCCCAAAGTGCTAGGATTACAGGCTTGAGCCACCGCGCCCGGCCTAATTTTACATTTTTTTTAATTTTAATTTTTAGAAGGTTTTGGGTTTGTTACTATAAAATAGCTGCTGGAAAAAGATCGGTTGTGGAAATTACTCTTCTAGTTATTTTATATGTTTTCCCTATTTTACTCCAAATCTTTGATCTCTGGAGACTCTTAAATGTATCTGCTGTATAAAGGATGTTATACCCATGCAGTGAAATACTATTTAGGCCAGGCGTGGTGGCTCACATCTGTAATCCCAGTGCTTTGGGACGCCAAGGCAGGTGGATCAGGAGTTCAAGACCAACCTAGCCAACATGGTGAAACCCTGTCTCTGCTAAAAATTAAAAACTTAACCAGGCATGGTGGTAGGCCTGTAATCCCAGTTACTCGGGAGGCTGAGGCAGGAAAACCACTTGAACCCAGGAGGCAACAGCTGCAGTGAGCAGAGATCTTGCCACTGCACTGCAGCCTGGATGACAGAGCAAGACTTCATCTCAAAAAGAAAGAAATACTATTTAGAAATGAGAAATGAGTTAGTTCATTGTATACTAATGAAAAGGTGATCAAGATATATTTCATTGACTCTAAGATGCCATTGGTTTTATGTATCAATGAGAAAGAAAAACCATCTAATTAAACCATGCCATACCATAGATTAGAAGATACAGCGGTAGATCAAAGGGCACTTTGAAAAAAGTATGTCTTTGAATATGATGAAAGAAAATATTAAGTATGTATCCACTTTTTTGAAATTATTTTTTTAGTATAGACTGAAAACAAAGTTGAGAGAATATATGTCTGCCTTATTTACCATAGTATTTCTATGTTCAGTGTTTTGCACATAGTAGATACTTAGATAGATATTCACAAATTTTTAAATTATGCACTTCTAGAATGGCACTTTTTTAAAAAACAGCTAGCATATGTTTGTATTGAGAAAAAGTTGAAAGTAAATAAATGTAAATTGATACATGTATATATCATCAAAGAGCAACTCGTTTCCTCAGGGCAGATTTGGAAATTTCCCTTGTTATAATTGTAATGTCCTTTTCTAGTCATCCCATTGTGTCCTTTTACAATTATCCTCAAATACCACCTCAAAACCTGAAGCAGCATCTTTTACTTGATAGCTACTTTGCAATGTCCATAAATCTGCATGGATAGTACATACCATTTCTCTATGGTATGATCTGTGGTATATGATATGGACTGCCTGGATTTGTATCTCAGCCCCACTACATTTAGATATATAATTTGGGGAAAATTACCAATTTTGGTTTTCCCTTATTTATAAAATAGGAGCAATAACAGTATATACCACAGAAGAATTAAGCAAAATTGGCTGGGCGCCTATAATCCCAGCACTTTGGGAGGCTGAGGCAGGCAGATCATTTCAGGTTAGGAGTTCGAGACCAGCCTGGCCAACATGATGAAACCCTGTCACTACTAAAAATACAAAAAAATTAATCGGACGTGGTTGCGCATGCCTGCAATCCCAGCTACTCGGAAGGCTGAGGCAGGAGAATCACTTGAACCCAGGAAACAGGTTGCAGTGAGCCGAGATTGTGCCACTGCACTCTAGCCTGGGTAACAGAGTTAGGCCCTGTCTCAAAAAAAAAAGAAGCAAAATTATAGTCAATAGCTGATACACGTAGACTATATGTAGTCATTATTTTGATGGTACGATCCTAAAGCTGAGTCCTTGTTGTTGTCCAATTCCTAAACATTTTGAAGTTTAGAAATTTGAGGGAAAGAAACACACACACACACACACACTTTATATATATATATATTCCATATGTATGCTTTAAACATATATACTTTACTTACATGCTTGGAATTGAGAGAATTTTTTGTTTGTTGTTTGTTTTTAGTATCCACAGTAAATAAGCAAAATGTCTATGTAACATCTTTTTTGTTGTTATTTTCAAGTATTCTATGACCTTATCCCTGTTTTCTGTTTCAGGTCGAAACTTCACAGCTCATGATAAGCAACCTTCAGTGCTGAGTAAGTAATTGGTTTTCTGCTCTTTTTTCCATCAATCCTAACCTTGCCTTATTCTCCCCACAAAAGTTGTAATAAGATTTTAAGTCATTTTACCCCTCCTTACCCTTTTTAATCCACCTCAGATTGGTACTGCCTGTAATAATTATTCTGTGATGTGGAAATGTGTTCAGGGCTATTTTACCACAAGTAATTTATATTAGGTAATAATATATTTATTTGCTACCTGCTTTGCTATATAGAAAGTGTTTCATCCTCACTGGGACAGGATCCTTTGAAATTATCCTTTACTTATAAAACTCTTGCTTTTTTTGCTTTCTTCCCCTGCTTTATTTTGTCTTTCTGATAGATTAATTTTATAACCCTGGAATATGGTATAAACTTTCAAAGTATGGGAAATTATCTTTTCATATATGTATTTGCTTCAGGCTCAGGATATCAAAAAACTCCCCAGGAATGGGCTCCACATACTGCAAGAATAAGGACTAGGATGCAAAGTAAGTAAATAAATCTCTGTTATTGAACTAATCTTAAGAGTATTTGCTATATTTTGCTTGACAAAAATGTTGAGTTCTTCAGATAAACATTTAGATTGTTTGTGATTTCACTAATAAAGTACAGCTATGATTACTAGTTTAGTAATTTCCATTTGTTTGGACTGGCGGCACATGGGCTGGGTGTAGAATGTAAATAGCGGTGTGGGAAAACCAGCCATCGATGGGTCTTAACAAGCTGTCAGTTCTAGCAGCAATACAGTCTGTATACAATAATGAAATTCTACTCTTTTGACAATACCCTGTTTTTTGCTTTTAGCAGACTTTTCGTAAATAACCACTTGGAACAGCTTTGTATACTCATAATTTTACATAATAAAGGCTGAAATGCACAAGTTATATTTTCATGTTTAGAGTTTTTTTTTCTGGTTGTTTTGTTTTTGAGATGGAGTTTTCCTCTGTGGACCAGGTTGGAGTGCAGTGGCACTATCTCAGCTCACTGCAGCCTCCCCCTCCCACATTCAAGCAATTCTTGTGCCTCAGCCTCCTGAGCAGCTGGGACTTGCAGGCGTGCACCACCACACCCAGATAATTTTTTTATTTTTGGTAGAGATGGAGTTTTGCCATGTTGGCCCGGCTGATCTTGAACTCCTGACTTCAAGTGATCTGCCCGCTTCAGCTTCCCAAAGTATTGGGAATACAGGCATGAGCCACCACACCCAGCCCCATGTTTATGTTTTGAATGGATTAAATGTCACAGAATTTAAGGAATACTATAAATTGATGTGATTAAACCATCTACTTTGAACTCAGTTTCTATAATTTCTGTAGAAATGTGTCCACATTTAAATCTTGACCATATTTTTTTAAAGTCCATGCATATTCTCTGCCTTAAGTGATCTTTAACCTCTCTCCCTTCTTTACTCTTGTAGCCACAATAAGTCTTGAGGTCATCAGGTATTCTCTTACTTTTATTTAGATAATATAAAAATCCATCTCTTGCTCATGGGATGCTTATCTCTGTAATTGGATCAGATGACATCTGTGGCTCTGCATTTCAATCAGTAAAGTAGGAGTGGTCACAATTCATTTTTTCTCAGCAGTGAAGTTTTTTTTTGAGACGGAGTTTTGCTCTTTTTGCCCAGGCTGGAGTGCAATGGTGCAATCTTGGCTGACTGCAACCTCCGCCTCTTGGGTTCAAGCAATTCTCCTCCCTCTCAAGTAGCTGGGATTATAGGCATGTACCACCACACCTGGCTAATTTTGTGTTTTTAGTAGAGATGGGTTTTCTCCATATTGGTCAAGGTGGTCTCAAACTCCCAACCTCAGGTAATCTGCCTGCCTCAGCCTCCCAAAGTGCTGGGATTACAGGTGTGAGCCACCGTGCCCAGCAAGAAGTGAAGTTTTTAGCCCACGTATAAATGAGTTCTTCAGCAGCCTAGAACTGAAATAACTTTTTGCCCTTGTCTTATTGTTGGTTATCATTTCTTATTGCTTCAAGTGTGTGCCTGCTATTAGAAGACCATTTACTCTTATAATTTGCTCTTCCTGACCTATTGTAGTTAGGAAACCAAATATTAATTATTCAGCCTATTAGAATTATGTTTATAACAAGAATCAAATATTAAAATTAAATTTGAAGACCCAAGAGATACTGTTGGATGTAAAAGTGCATGACTTTTAGTATCTATAATGTGAAAAGCTGAGACTTTTTACGTCATTTCTAAGTTATTTACTATATATTCTGAATAGTTAATATCAGATAAATGGCTTCCAGATACGGGAAATTAGTACATAGTTATCAAAAAATGTTCGCATAATGTTTTTCTTCTAATAAGATACTGCAGTACAAAAGGAAAACTAATTATATTGAACATGTAATAATTGAAATGCAGAAATTGATCTTTTTAGTTGTTGACTTGATAGCTAATTTTTATCTGATAGATTTTATCTGTTTGCATTTCTACTTTGTCTTAACTTACTATATTTATTATAGCTTACAGAATTATGCATTGATTGCTAGCCACCTACCATATATAGATACCACATTGAGCTTTCAGAGTTATGTAACAGTAACATACCAGAATTGTACATGTAATAGGATCTTTTAGACTTTCAACCACATGAGGACTTTAAGATAGAACAATGAGCAAGAAGAAAATGCTTTCAATGGAGGTGGAAGACTGCAGTGATTTTCACACAAACTTATATAATAGATTCCTCCTCATGACTATTAAAAAATATTTTCTTAGCATTCCAAATTTTATCTCTCATTCTTTATATATTTCTGCCTGCTTTCATGAGGAAAAAAAAAGTCATTTTTAGATCTGAGTTTTCAAGAACCTTGGACTATAGATTCTACCCTAAGGAGCATTGTCACCTGATGTTGGCACCAGTTTCCTGGATAGACAGGTCCCAGTTCAGGTTTCTGCCTGCATCCAAACCTTTTAGGAAAGATGGAACCACTGTCTTTACTTTTTCCTATTTGCCTGGTGATCAAACAATGATTATAGAGAAGGATATATGTACATGGAGAGGTCAGAGCATTAATGTAAATGTTTTGGAACCTGTCTGAGAAATTTAGGTAGAGAAAGGAAGACAGTTTGGAGTTAAAGCTCTTGGGCTCCAGCCCTAGCTCTTCCACTTACTAATTGAGTAATCTTGGTAAAATCACTTAACCTTTGTGAACCTCAATTTTCTTGCCTTTAGAGACAATAGTGCCTATAACTAGATTATTGTAATGAGCTTATATGGGTAAACACAATTTTTAAAGTCTAAAATCTCATAACTATCAGGGCTTATTTATCGTTAACAAGGTATCCTGTAGAATCAATAGCAGCTATGGAGGATTTGTGCCCTCTACCCTTGATGGTTATAGAGTGATTGTCACCATACTCTAGATTAGAAAAGCTTGAGTTTTTTCTTTTCTTTTTTTTTTTTTTTTTTTTTTTTTTTTTTTTTTTTTTTTTTTTTTTTTTTTTTTTTTGGAGACAGAGTCTTACTGTGTCACCCAGGCTGGAGCGCAATGGCGCTATCTCAGCTCATTACAATGTACTTCACCTCCTGGGTTCAAGCGATTTTCATGCCTCAGCCTCCTGAGTAGCTGGGATTACTGGCACTTACCACCACACCCAGCTAATTAGAGATGGGGTTTCAACCATGTTGGCCAGGTGGTCTCAAACTCCTGACCTCAGGTGATCTGCCTGCCTCTGCCTCCCAAAGTGCTGGAATTACAAGGGTGAGCCTCCATACCTGGCCAGATTTTTTCTTTCAAAAAGATGTTTTTTAGAATTGTTGTTAGCATCTGTAATAATGTTAATAAGAAGGATAGCAGTTACCCTTTAGACAATGTCCTACCTTGGCAGTATATACTTTGCTGTGTATGTGTTTGTGTTATATGAATTACCTAAATATTATATATGGTACATAATTATTATTTAGCTGTTCTTCATTATTAACGTCATAGAATTGCACTTCACAGCATTTTTGTGTATATTATCTCATTCGATCTTTGCAACCGTGGAGCGAAGTATTCAAAGTAAACATTATCTGATGGATTTGGGTTTTGTGTGGTCAGGTTTTTTAAATTTTGTTATTTTAGCTGTAACTTTGAAAACCTAATTTAGAAGCTTCTAAATAATGAAATGTCCTAAGCTAAACTAATTGAAAAACAATATTCCTTTTAGAGTTGCTGTCATTTTGTCTTATGATATCATTATGGAGTTTTTGTCATATGACCAAAAATAAGGCTATTTCTGAATCTTAGCAGTGCTAATATTATTCCTCCAGTTATTCCAGTGTTTCTCAAATGAAAGTTGTTGCTGTAACGCTAAGAATATTCACCAGGAAGTTCATTTATATATACAAAAGTTATAAAACTCCAGGCAAGTGATAGATGGCAATACTGGTAATATAGGTCATATGAATTAGGTAACTGAGCCTCTCCACCTTCTGAAGCCTGTCCCTCCGTTTCATCTCTTATATTTTAAAACCTGCTAGTGTGCTTAGAAAGATGGAAGGGAAAGGGAAGGTTTAGAATAGTTTTTAATTTCTTTTTATTAATTTTTTTTAAGAGGTGGGGTCTCACAGTGTTTCCCAGGCCTGTCTTAAATTTCTGTGGTCAAGCTGTCCTTTCACCTCAGCCTCTTGAGTTGTTGGAATTATGGGCATGAGCCACTGTGCCAGGCTTAATTTATTTTCTAAATGAATTTAGATGGAAGTAGAGATTTGATGGAGTTGTGAGAAAATTGTTTTTGAGCTCTGTTGTTTAACCACAAGCCTAAAACAGAACTACTTATTTACTTGTCTATTAACAGAAATAATGAAAAGTTTTCAAACGTGATTTTTAAATACTACTAATATTTGAAATGGTCAGAATCCCCAGAGGAAATATTGAATCAGTTTGAGGTAGAAAATAGTGAGGCTTAAGATTCAGTTTTATATTAAAATTCCTTATCCGGAGAGCTCAGCAGTCTATGATGCACATCTTGTCCTTTTTCCCCCTCTTTACAGCATCTTCACCAGGCAAAAGTTCAATATATGGCAGTTCTTCAGATGGTATAATATGTTTCATTTTATTATGGTGTGCTTGTTTTCTTTGTCCTTTTTATCCTGGAAGTTTCACCAATCCTGTGAGATACTTACGGGTCAAATACTTCCAGACTTTCTTTCAAAACTAAGTATTGTGTGCTTTGTACTAAACCCGACCATACGCTGTGAACAGCTGTGAAGGAAATGGGTCTTGTGTCTCAAGGAGCCCTCAGTCTAATTGGCACTCAGATATTCTACTTTTTCTTCTGCTTCTGGTGATCTCTGTCTTCTTTTTTTTCCTGGTGGAATTTGTATCTTCTTTCTCTACTAAAAATAATTACTCAAATTATGAAACATAAGTTGATAGTCTTCTTTTATTACTCTAACCTTTAGATGACAGCATTCAGAAATCAGAACTTGGAAACCAGTCACCATCAACCTCCCGCCGACGTAAGTTTGTCTATTCAGTTTTTATTAAATGTTTCTGTAAAATTGGTATTCCATAATTGTTTAAAAATGTTTTTTGGCTCGGCACAGTGGCTCACACCTGTAGTCCCAGCACTTTGGGAGGCCGAGGCAGGCAGATCACAAGGTTAAGAGATTGAGACCATCCTGGCCAACATGGTGAAACCCCGTCTCTACTAAAAATACAAACATTAGCCGGGCGTGGTGACATGCACCTGTGGTCCCAGCTGCTCGGGAGGCTGAAGCAGAAGAATCGCTTGAACCCAGGAGGTGGAGGTTGCAGTGGGCCAAGATTGTGCCACTGCCCTCCAGCCTGGCGACAGAGCAAGACTCCGTCTCAAAAAAAAAAAAAAAAAAAAAAAAAAAAATTCTAATCTCAAAAAAAAAAAAAAAAAAAAAAAAAAAGTTTTTTGACAACTGGATGACTTGATGCTATTTGAAGAATCATATTTTAAGCACTTCAGAGAAAAAAGTTTCTATTTTACTAGCAGTGAAATTCTTTATGGACAAACTATATGAGACAACATCTGGTATTGCCCTTCACTTTACTGTTCAAAAGACCAAAAGTAATAGCTAATGATAAGTAAAGCTACTAATACTGTTAACTGAGGAAGCCATGCTGAATTAAAAGAAAGACAGAGAGAGCATGACATTATGGGATTACAGTGGCTCTTGGAGTCTGCACACCTGTATTTGAACTAGATGGGACTACTCACCCCCTGTACAGCCCTGTGGCGAGTTTCTTTAATTCTCTAAGTCTTATTATTCTGAAAGAGTACTAAGAAAATAAATTAATGGGCCAGGCGCCGTGGCTCACGCCTGTAAACCCCAGCACTTTGGGAGGCTGAGGCGAGCGGATCACGAGGTCAAGAGATCAAGATCATCCTGGCCAACATGGTGAAACCCCATCTACTAAAAATAGAAAAATTAGCTGGGCATTGTGGCGTGTGCCTGTAGTCCCAGCTACTTGGGAGGGTGAGTCAGGAAAATTGGTGGAACCTGGGAGGCAGAGGTTGCAGTGAGCCAAGATTGCGCCACTGCACTCCAGCCTGGCGCCTGGCGACAGAGCAAGACTTTGTCTAAAGAAAAAAAAAAAAGAATCTCAGAAAGGTTTTTGTTGAAGATATGGATATGGTTATGCCTATCCATATGTACCTGGAAATTAAAGTTGAGAATTTTTTAAATATTCATTAATTTATTTTAAAATAAGTTAGCAAGAAGAGTGACAGATCAGATTGCTTTGCATTTTTTCTAATCTCTTTAATGCCTGGCCTTAAAAAATAGAGCTGGATTCTTATATATGCTTCTGTGTTCAGTCTGTTACAATATATTGTTTTGGTTGAAGTATCTACAAAAAACCCCAGCTTTATACAGATATGAAAAGTTTTAATAAGAGTTTTCAGATAATTGTGGCTATTCTTTTTGAATTCTCCAAAACTCAACAACTGGTAGTTTCTTAAATGTTGCTTGAAATATGATAACTGAAACCATCTTAACGAGCTCTTTGTACTCTATTACGTTAAAGTTCATTTGTCTATCTTATACTTTGAATGGAGTATCTTGCACTGGTCATTTGGAAAACATTGGTTCAATGAGATATGCAGATTTTCCAAACATTGACACATGAGGAATGTAATATAAAAGATCACATTTGTTAATATCACTGCCAATCTCAAGACTTTAAAAAAATATTAAAGGGTCAGGTGTGGTGGCTCACGCCTGTAATCCTAGAATTTTGAGAGGCCTAGGCCAGTGGATCATCGGAGGTCAGGAGTTCAAGACCAGCCTGGACAACATGGCAAAACCCTGTCCCTACTAAAATGCACAAACATTAGTTGGGCATGGTGGCATGCACCTGTAATCCCAGCTGTTCGGGAGGCTGAGGCAGGAGAATCACTTGAACCTGGGAGGCAGAGGTTGCAGTGAGCCAAGATCACACCACTGTGTGCCAGCATGAGTGACAGAGCGGGACTCCATCTCAAAAAAAAAAAAAAAAGTATTAAAGTACAATATTGGGAGTTGTCAAGCTCATGGTGGCAGATTCAGGATTCTGAAATCCTAATTTTCACTTGAAAGCAAATGTCTGCCAAATACACAAGTCTGACTGTAGTATGTTACTTGTTCTTTCAAGCAAAAATTAGTATTCCATGAAAAAAGTGCTAATTCAGCTTGTAATTCATTTGCACAAAATTCTTTTCCTTGAGACCACTGTGGTACTGTGTGATGCAGCAGAAATGCTTTGTGCAAACTTCCCATTTCTTCACAAAGAAGATCAACAAGATATGTACTCAAAGATTGAGATTTAATAACATAAATAATTAACTGCTTCATAAAGGATATTCTTAGTAAAAGAATGTCCCTTTTTGTTAAACTTTGAATGCATGACAGTGAAAAATAACAATGACTACACTTGTACAGTTTGGTTCCACTGCCCTGTAACTCATGCTAAGGAATCAGAAGTTCTTCCCACCATTGCTTTTGTATCATCAGTGCAAATGTCAACAAAACGGAAAATCAAATAACATCTTAGTGTTAGAAGAATACTTTGACTTAATGGACCCCCCTCACCCCCCCCAAAAAAAATAGGGTCTTGAGGTACCCCACAGACCACACCTTGAGAACTGCTGCTCTAAAAGATCCCTTCTAAAATTAATAGCCTAAAACAGTCAATAAATAAAAGTGTAAAAGTATTATTGTTACTATTATATTAGCTGAGTAAATGAAATAGAAAATGAGAAAGTGCTTTCTAAACTGAAAAGCACTAGATAAATATAAATTAATATTATTGCCAATAGTAATTAGAGATGAGTTACAAACTAAATTTTACTAGTGTTAACTTGCATACCACAAAAAGATATGCATCAATGCAGTTAATCTAAAGGGACAGCTAGCTATTATAACACATAGAAGCTGTTCATTTATAATGCATCCTTTTCTTTATCCCTTTATATACCTCAGAAATATTTCACCTTGAATAATTAGCCATGTGAATGCCGAGTTTCTAAATTTAAAAAGTGTCTTTTAATAGTCTATTCTCCCTGCTATTAGCAGTGGAAGTAGTAATTTTGCTTTATAAATTATACTATTTTTCTGCCTTGTTTATGCCATTTCCTATGTTTAAAAACTTTTTTCCTCAGACTTGTTTTTATATTGAAGAGACATATGCATATTTATACACATAATTCAGAGCCTCTGTGTATAAGATTTTCTTGAAAATGTGATCACTTATTAAGAAAATTATCAGCTTTCTTCTTTAAAGTCCTTCCTCTTTTACCTAATGTTTATGAAGATTGACACTGATTTTAAAAGTCACTTCCCCTAAGTCTAAGAAAATCGTATTTATATCTGTCATTTCTTTTTTTCTGAGTAGAATTGACTGGACAACCCCAAAATGCATCTTCCGGCAGGAGGAACTGGTGGGGGCCACTTGCTCTATTAGCTGCCCTTGCCTGTGGGAGTTTTTGGTTCTTTCATACTCCTGAGGTAAAAACCACTGCTGTTCAAGAGTTCCAGAACCAGATGAATCAACTTAAGAATAAGTACCATGGTCAAGATGAGAAGCTATGGAAAAGAAGCCAAACATTCCTGGAAAAACATCTTAATAGCTCCCATCCTCGCTCTCAGCCTGCTATCTTGCTGCTCACTGCTGCCCGAGATGCTGAAGAAGCACTTAGGTGTCTGAGTGAACAAATTGCTGATGCCTATTCTTCTTTCCATAGTGTTCGTGCTATCCGGATTAATGGGACAGGCAAAGCTACTCAAGACAGCGATACTGTCAAACTAGAGGTAGACCAGGAACTGAGCAATGGATTTAAGAATGGCCAGAATGCAGCTGTGGTACACCGCTTTGAGTCACTGCCTGCAGGCTCTACTTTGATATTCTACAAATATTGCGACCATGAAAACGCAGCCTTCAAAGATGTAGCCTTAGTCCTGACTGTCTTATTAGAGGAAGAGACACTTGGAACCAGCCTAGGCCTAAAGGAAATTGAAGAAAAAGTTAGAGATTTCCTCAAAGTCAAGTTCACCAATGCTAACACACCCAACTCCTACAATCATATGGACCCAGACAAATTGAATGGCCTCTGGAGCCGTATTTCTCACTTAGTTCTGCCTGTGCAACCTGAAAATGCCCTAAAAAGGGGCATCTGCTTATAAGAAGTGAGAGAGGAGAAAAATCATGTCCCAAGTTCTGAGAATTTTTCACACTTTCTAACCAGAGAATTCAGAGCTCTTTGAAAGAACTGGTTTCTTTTTAAAGGAAGTTAAGTTCTTACATAAACATGGAACATATTTTATTCAACCTAATTATCTGTGATATGAGAGAATCATTTCAGCTTCCATTGAGAGCTGTGTTAAAGGTATCTTAGGAGTGTATATTATATGCGGTTCCATAGAGAATCTGTTTTGATTCTGGGCTAAATTATTACAATTATGGTGTGACCAGTGAGAGGGATTTGTCTCCTTTCTTACAAACCTTCCTGGTTTTTTAGATTTCTCTCAAGGTTTGTTGCGTTATTAGTAAGATTGCTCCCTAAATGTAACCATGCATTTTCCCATTGTGTTCCCTTTTATATCATTTAGGCATAAGTTCCTTACCTTCTGTTTATAGGAACAAAAGTAGTCAAAGGTCATCTAAATGTGTGTCTGGAATTTTTTTTCTTTTGTATTTTGGAAGATGGAGAGAACAAGGCCAGGAAGGAGAAATTAATGGGAAGGTGAAGGGAGGAAATGTTACAGTAATCCACTGAGATGTAGGTTAGGCAGACATAGGTATATGAACTGTTCATCTTGGTGGATTCCATTGGGATTTTTTTTTTTTTACACTTCCTTTTTTCTTCCTTAAAGAAAAATTCTTGGTCCTCCGAAGGATTTTTCATGTATATTGCAAGATTTAATATATTTGTTCATTTGACTCTTAAGTAAGTCAGGCTGGGCACAGTAATTATGCCTGTAATCCCAGCACTTTGGGAGGCTGAGGCGGGTGGATCACCTGAGATCAGGAGTTCAAGACCAGCTTGGCCAACATTGTGAAACCCCATCTCTACTGAAAATACAAAAAAATTAGCTGGGCGTAGTGGCAGGTGCCTGTAATCCCAGCTGCTTGGGAGGCTGAGGCAGGAGAATCACTTGAACCTGAGAGGCGGAGGTTGCAGTGAGCCAGGACCACGCCATTGCACTCCAACCTGGGCAACAACAATGAAATTCCGTCTCAAAAAAAAAAAGAGTAGGTAAATTCAGAACAGTTTATTTTGGACACATCCTGAAGCTTTTGATTTGAATTAAGAAATAGAGTTTCAGGAATTGACAAACCATTTGTTAACCAGCTATCATGGGCTGTTGAAGATTTTGTTTTTTGTGCATCCAGTTGTTGTGGTCTAAGTCCTTTAGTGCTACTCCATAGCAAATACGAAGATTTACTATGCAGGTGATACATTTTATGGAATGCCTCAAACCAAGATAGTGAACTTATATGAAGAGTGAAATGTATTTCTTCACTAATAATAGTGTTTTAGTTATAACTTTGCATCTACAATTGAGCTTTCTCGTCTGAACTGCTATGGTTTTCTTAAAATGTTACAATTCTAGATCTGTCTACCTTGTTTTTGTATTGTCCACAAACCTTTAAATGTAAATATTTAAATTAATGGCTTTGTCATTACCCTTTGATAGTTCCACAAGTTTTAGTAGAGTCTTCTGATTTCTTTCCACTAGTACAACCAATATTCATAAATGTATACCCATTACTGTAATTTGTTCCTGTTAGAAGTCAGACCATCTGATTTATTTTATAGAGGATTATCAAAACAGGAGTTTTTGAAAAGGCTTATTTTATACGTACATATTATATAGAGAAACAAATGTTTTTATTAAATGTTTCACTGACCCAAGTAATTTAAAAGTAGTATGTTACCTATATCTTTCAGGAAGAATAATTACAGTAGCTGATCTGTAAATGACTTTAAAAGCTATTTTAGTAATTTAAATAAATTTACTTTCTTGGTTTGTACTCTCTATGTGTTATAAACTTAATGATTTATCATCTTTAAAAAAAGAAATATGAGCTGGGCACAGTGGCTCACGCCTGTAATCCCAGCACTTTGGGAAGCCAAGGTGGGCAGATCACCTGAGGTCAGAAGTTCAAGACCAGCCTGACCAACATGGAGAAACCCCATCTCTACTAAAAATACAAAATTTGGCCGGGCATTGTGGCACACATCTGTAAGCTCAGCTACTCAGGAGGCTGAGGCAGGAGAAACCCTTGAACCCGGGAAGTGGAGGTTGTGGTGAGCCGAGTGTACCACTGCACTCTAGCCTGGGCAACAAGAGTGAAACTCCATCCCAATAAAGAAAAATAAGAAAAGAAAAGAAAAAGAAATCCAAGTTTTTTCCTTGAACAATTTTAGCACCTTTGGCTAGAAGAGACAAAAGCCAAGGAATTGGAGCCATTCACTGTACATTATTTAGAAGTGGAACAGATGTAACTTTCCATGTTAGCTTGGCATTTAGGGTTTTTAAAAATACAGTTAATTTAGGTATTCCTGACTTGGCAAAAAATCTCCACAGGAGCTTTTCTTAAGCTTTTTTTTTTTTTTTTTTAAAGTAGACATGGGATCTCACTATGTTGCCCAGGCTGCTTTTAAACTCCTGGCCTCAAGCAGTTCTGCGTAAGCCTCCTAAGTAGCTGGCTTCTTAAGCTTTTCTTTATCGCCTCCCTAAAGAGCTTTTTTAGATTTTTTTTCAAGTTACCCCTTCCCCATGAAATTTAACACCACATATATACTATGTATCTGTTTATGGACTATAAATGTTTTCGTGCTTTATACAAAATAGAATTTTTTTCATCCCTAGTGAACCAATTTTCACCCCATTGAGAATGCATGCTCAACAGCATCCACATTTAGATAATTGCTGCCTAAAACACTCTGTTTTGTATTCATGTTATTGTAATCCTTTTAGAAGGGAAAATTTATTTATTTTTTATTTTTTAAAATTTATTTGAGATAGTCTCACTCTTGCCCAGGCTGGAGTACAGTGGCATGATCTTGGCTCACTGCAATCTCCGCCTCCTGGATTCAAGCGTTCTGTTGCCTCAGTCTTCCAAGTAGCTGGGATTACAGGTTCACACCACTATGCCTGGCTAATTTTTTGTATTTTTAGTAGAGACAGGATTTCACCATGTTGGCCAGGCTGGCCTCCAACTCCTGACCTCAGGTGATCCACCCACCTCAGCCTCCCAAAGTGCTGGGATTACAGGCATGAGCCGCTGAGTCCAGCCTAGAAAGGAAAATTTAAGACATCAGCTTCAAATTAAGAGCTATGGATCTAGAGAAACTGAGCATATTGTAACTGGTTGACAGCCGTGACCAAGGAAAACCACAGTACAGTACCTTCTTAAAACTTTCTAGAAACTTAATTTGCTTCCCTTCTTTTAACGAGATTTTAATATTTAAGGATGTTTTCTAAACCTGTAATTCTCAAAAATTGGAAGTAAACGGATTTTCATTCAATGAAGAGAACTGCCATTTAGAAGTGATGGGGTTTACATATTTTGTACCGTTAGTTCATACCTAAGCTAAAAATAGAATAACCAGTTTCCCTATGATCTCGAGTTTATGGAAAGCAGCCTTTCTGTTGGCAGTGACAACAAGTTCTCATTAAATACATAAAGATAATGTACTCTTCTGCTGTTGTGTCCTTACCAAGATCGTGGAGTAAAATTTTGCAGTGTAAGAGGATAGGGTTTTTCCCTAAGGAAGAGGATTTTATTGGCACTAACCACCAAAGATGTGGTTCCTGAGCTTGGAAGACCAAACTGAGAAGGCTGCCATTGACTGGAAGAGGAGGAAATTCAGCCTTGCACTCTACACCACAGACTGAACTACTTGTGATTTCCTAAACATATCATTGCCTTGCCTTTTGCACATTCTTAGACTCTTTTGGACTACTTCCTCATTTCCTGCCCTCTCGCTTCTTTGTCCTTTAAGTCTTGGTTTTCTTAGGCTAGCACTTCAGTGAAATCTTTCCTAATTCCCTTCCCCCAAATACCATTTTAGGCGCCTCTTGTTTTCTTCTTTCTTTTCTTCTTTTTTGGTAGCTTAAACAATAAGACCTTTATTGTTTTAAAACCCAGCAGCATGAGGAGTTCCTGGGTTGGGTGACTTAGAGGCTATAAAAATTCGTCACAAGCATTACAAGATAACCAGCAATACCGCTGATGAAAGAAAACCTCACAAGCAGCTAGCGGAAGCCAGCTCCTGTCCTCTTGTCCAAAGCTGGATAGTGTCCAGCCAAACCATTTTGAGGGTTGAATGAGTGACTTCAAAGGGCGCAAATGACTGGTGAATCTTCCAGATAAAGGGAGAGAGCACAGCCTTTCCTGCGTATTTTAAAGTGACAGGTGCTCCACGCACTGATTTATCTTTTATTACCCTGTCGCAGCATTAGCATACCCCAGCTACCGCATGCATCTTGCAAGCAGTGATGTGTCGTCAGTATAGGCACCGTGGTAATCACAGAGTGCTCAAATGTTTATTGAATAGAAAGAACAAGCTGTACCCGATTATAGCTAGGTAAGTTGCATCTTAGCATTTTATTTGCTTCCCCCACCTCTATCCCCCATTACTCCTAAGCCCTATCTAAAAGCTTTATGTGACTATTTCTTCTGGATTTAGCAATGCTACGAATAAGGAAAAACAAGACTAATCAACGCCGTGGAGGGGAAATTGGCACTTCTCTGGTAGAGACGGCGATCATCATGGTTCTTCAAGGGGAAGGTGAATATCAAGGGAAAAGACTGGGAAGCCATGAGGTCTTTCCACAGTGATATTTGGCATTTGCATTTTCTTAAAATAGCAAGTATCCTTCCATCTTTTTCTTTGCCTAGGAGGGTATTATAATTCAGATAAAAGATGGCTATGGATGTGGGAAAAAGATGGATAAGGAAAATATTGGAGAAGCAGAACTGACCAGATCTGATTGAATGTAAAAGTGCTGAAAAGTTCTCTTCATTTTGTTTAGCTCATTTACCATCTCCCCAAATACTAAGCACAAAGTGATAGACTGAATTCCTATCTCTTCATGTCAATGTGTTGACTTGTAGTTTGAAGTAGAGCCACACATGTTTAGTCAAGAATTGATTGTAAAGAATAAAAACCCTGTCCAACCAGGAAATGAGCAAAGGAGGGTTGGGGTAAAGATTGCAAGAATAAACATCTCAGACTCCAAGACAAGAAAATATGGGAACCGTGAAGACTGGTTTCGTATGGAGACCAGCAGCCATTCCCTTTGTCTCTATTGCTGCCTACCCAATTAGCAACTTCCCCCTTGTGACTTAAATGCCAAAAAGATGACTTTAATGGCTCAATTCAGTGTATGAAAGATTCCTGAGAAGAATGCATGATAAAACGTAGCTTCCTAGGTCACCCTTTTAACAGGGACCAGGGGTTTGGGCTGCAGGAGGGCAGTTTCCTGAGGTCAGGCCAAGAAGTGGGCAGATGTGTTAAAGAACAACTGAATACTTCTTCAACTATATAAAGTCCTTTTATATGTAATACGTGCTATGTGATTAAGTCATTTTATTTTAGCTTTTTAAAAAAAACCCAACAAAGGGAAATACAAGGTAATGGAAACATTTTAAAGTTTTAAAATCTGAGTCCTGGTCATGGGTCTACTATAAATGTGATTTCTTCCCATAGCTTCTGTTTCTCTAGACTAAACAAGGGAGATAGTTATCAAAACTTCAGGTACTATTTGAACATACATCAGCACTTGTTAATTTGTTATAAGCCCCGCAATAGTCCCACAACAGAACACCACGCTTTAGTTTTCAGTATGTTTCTTCGGCAAATGAGGTGGTAGGTGGCCAGGCACTAGATTCAAACTTGATTTTCTCGGGATTGTTTTTCCACTTTTAGAGAATACCATTCTTAGGCTAAACTCAATTACAGAATCTACTGCATGATATACAGCCCTCTGTAGAGTTAATTACATCTCTTAATGGGCAAATTTTTAATCTGTTCTTTTTTTCAATTGCGTAAAATCCAGATCTCTCCTAGCTTTAATTGACTTCCTCTTATTTTCCCTACAACAAATATGGAAAATATCTACATAAAGGTCTTTATGTATAATATATATTTGAATATGTATCAAGTTGTTCCGCACTCTATTTTTTGTCAGCTGTTATTTATTAATTGCTCTGAACACTTCCAAGTGCTTTGTGTGTATTAACTGATTTCATTCTTGTTACTCTGTGAGGTGGTATGATTATCCCAACTTAAGAGGAAGCTGAAGCACAGTGAGCTAAAGTAGCAATCGAAGTGATGGAGCAGGGAGAGAAACCAGGCAGTCTGGCTTCAGAACGTCTATCCGACCGCTATGGTGTACTCGAGGATCCCATTCTGAATGTAGGAATAAACAAATTCAGTTTCTCCCAGTTTATGCTCCACTTTATGATACCCTTCTGACTCCAGATGCATGTTGGGGGAGGTTCCCCACACATTAAGCAAGTAAGCAGTACTGCAGCAGACACCAGCTGGGTGTCCTCTAATTCAATTCACTTCTTACGCTACCTGGAGATAGCCTCAGATGCCATAGGTTGAAGGCTCAGTCCCTCAAAATGGCTTGCACTTTAGATGCCAATCAGAAGCCCCAGATGGTGACCTAGGCTCCTAAACAACCAGCTATAAGTTAGGGTTCCCATAACCCCCTTCTTGGGCTCCAATTATTTGCTAGAGAGGCTCACAGAACTCAGGGATGCCTATACAGTCATGCCCTACATAATGACATTTTAATGTCAGACTGCATAGACAACAGTGACACCATAAGATTATAATATCGTATTTTTACTGTACCTTTTCTATGTTTAGGTATGTTTAGATACACAAATGCAGTCGACCATTGAACAACATGGGTTTGAACTGTGTGGGCCTGCTTATATGTGGATATTTTTTTTCAGTAAATGAATTGGATACATTTTTGGAGATTTGGAACAATTTGAAAAACCAGATGAACCTCATAGACTAGAAAAAAAAAAAAAAAAAAAAAGAAAAAGGTATGTCAAGAATGCATAAAATACATGTAGATACGAGTCTATCATTTACTATCATACACAAATCTATTACAAAAAGTTAAAATTTATCAAAACCTATGCACACAAACATAGACCATATGCTGTACCATATACAGTCTAGATAAATATTTAAAAATGTAAAAATGCAGTTTTAAACCATAACTGAGAAAAAATTATGGGTGCAATGCATGCTATTCAGATGATGGATATACTAAAAGTCCAGACTTCAACAGGATACAATTCTTCCATGTAACAAAAAACCACTTTTACCACTGAAGCTATGGAAAGAACAAAATTTTTAAATTAATTATTACAAAATAACTGTATAAAATTAACTGTAGTACATACTGTTCCACTGAAATAATTTTGTAACCACCTCCTGTTGCTATTACGGCAGAACTCAAGTGTTTAGAGTATCCACCTAAAACACCCTATGAGCTAATCATCTCCATGGGAGCAGTCCTTTGCTCCAGTAAATTGCTTATTGAAGTAAAAAGCGATCTCTCACATTTCTTGCGTTTTCATCATGTTTAATGCAATATCCTAAACATTGAATAACACCGTGAGCCCCATACAAAGTGCCACCAGGGATGCTAGAAATGCTCCCAAGAAGCAGAGGAAAAAAATGACACTACAAGAAAATGTTGAATTGCTTGGTAAGTATTTTAGATTGAGGTCTGTAGCTGCAGTTGCCTGCCATTTCAGAATGGAGAGGCATTTAACCAACCCTAAACCTGCAGTATTGATCATTACAGTACAGTAAATATGTTTTCTCTTCCTTAGGATTTTCTTAATATTTTATTTTCTCCCTTACTTTATTATAAGGACATAGTATATGATATATGTGTTAATCAACTGTTTATGTTACTGGTAAGTCTTCCAGTTAGCAGTAGGCTATTAGTAGTTATGTTTTGGGGAAGCCAAAAGTTATACGTGGATTTTTGACTGTGTGGGTGTCATACTCCTAATCCCCCAGTTGTTCCAGTGCCAACTGCACTTGCCATTATGTTACAGTTGCCTACAGTATGCAGTACAGGAACATGCCATGCAGGTTTGCAGCCCAGACAATAGGCTATACCATATAGCCTAGGTGTGTAGTAGGCTATGCTATCTAGCTTTGTGGAAGGACACTCTTAAGATGTTTGCACAATAACGAAATTGCCTAACAAAGCAATTCTCTTATATATGTATGTGTGTATGTATTTTTATAGAGATGGAGTCTTGCTATGTGCCTAGACTGATCTCAAACTCCTGGGCTCAAGCAGTTCTCTCCCCACAGCCTGCCAAAGTGTTGAGATTACAGGCATGAGCCACCACGCCCGGTAACAACACAATTCTCAAAACGTATCTCCTTCATTAAGTGACACATGACTGTACTTACATTAACTAGTTTATTATAAAGGATATTACAGAGGGTACTGATGAACACCAGATGAAGAGATGCATAGGACAATGCATGTGGGAAGGAGCGTGAAGCCTCCATCTATTCATGCTCTTTGCAGGCTATATTCAGCCTGTATATTCTTATCTGTGGCTCTCCTTTAAACACTTTTCTTCCCATGCTCACCATTGTAGAATCCAATATTGCACAAAGCAAGAGTCTAGAGAATTTTGAGTAGGATGAGTCATCACACAGTCCTACCTGTTGACACATATTTGCATACGTAATCAGGCTTTTATAACTAAATTTACCGCAATGTTGACTCACAGTTAATCTTTTTCAAAATGCTTACATGTAATCCAGGGGTTGGTTAACTGTCCCTGCTTACCATGCAGTGTGTTTTAGGCCTCTCTCAGTCTTGATGCAAAACTCAGCAACTGTGAATTCCTAAGAAAAAACCCATTTGCATCCGGAGCATTGGCAATTTCCTGCAGAAGGAAAACTGGTGATAGTACACAACACATCCCACAGAAAACAGAAGCATCCTTATCCTTACTGTAATGAGGGACGGTATGATTAAGGGTGCAGGCCCTACAGGTTGGAGTTTGACTGCCTGGGGCCACATCTCAGCTACACACGTTTCTCACTGAATGGCACTAGCAACTTAGGCTCTTTATGCTTCAGTTTCCTTGTCTCTAAAAATGGAGAAAATAGTGTAACTATTATAGTGTTGTGAGGATTGAGTTCACACATGCAAAGCACTTAGTGCTGACTATGTCAAAGGGGTAAAATGTTAGCCATTCTCATTTACCGAAATTCTATTTTTTTGGGATGGAGTCCCGCTCTGTCACAAAGGTGGGTGTGCAGTGGCTCAATCTCGACTCACTGCAACCTCTGCTGTCAGGTTCAAGCGATTCTCCAGCCTCAGTCTCCAGAGTGGCTGGGATTACAGGCATGTGCCATCACACTGACTGATTTTTGTATTTTTAGTGGAGACAGAGTTTACCATGTTGGCCAGGCTGGTTTTGAACTCCTAACCGCAGGTGATCCACCAGCCTCGGCCTCCCAAAGTGTTAGGACTACAGGCATGAGCCACCACGCCCAGCCTCATTTACCAAAACCCTTAATCACCAACAGTTCTTTCCCCTTTTCCTGTGTGGCATCAACTATGATGGTTCCTGTTTCCAGCCTCTTAGCTGACCCTTGTTAGGCAGAAAACTTGGTCTTTCTTCCCCTCTTACACCTCCATTATGAACCCCAACCCATCACAAAGTTTATTAAACAAAAGGCCTTACAGTTACCAGAACCCACCCTTGCCCCAAACCAGGAGTATTATAAAGAATAAGAAAGATTTCCTGGCTGGGTGCAGTGGCTCACGCCCGTAATCCCAGCCCTTTGGGAGGACGAGTTGGGAGGATCATTTGAACCTAGGAGTTTAAGACCAGCCTGGGCAACATAGTGAGACCCCATCTTTAGTTCTTATAAAATTTAAAAGTTTTAAAATAATTTTTCATTAAATTTTTTTAATTAATATTTTTTTAAAGAATGCTTTTCCGGCTGGGCACAGTGGCTCACACCTGTAATCCCAGCACTTTGGGAGGCCAAGGCAAGCAGATCACCTGAGATCGTGAGTTCAAGACCAGCCTGACCAACGTGGAGAAACCCTGTCTCTATTAAAAATGCAAAATTAGCTGGGCATGGTGGCACATGCCTGTAATCCCAGCTACTCGGGAGACTGAGGCAGGAGAAACGCTTGAAGCCAAGAGGCGGAGGTTGCCGTGAGCCAAGTTCGCACCATTGACTCTAGCCTGGTCAACAAGAGCAAAACTCCATCTCAAAAAAAAAATAAATAAA